TTTGCCACATAAATTGTCTACAAATGCTGCAGGTGTGACATTGATGTAGCATTGATGTACATTAACACAGCCACCTCCTTGATTGATCATTTCCTTTTGGTCTGCATTAAAAGGTAAGGTGTGACAGCAGTGCTCAATGCACCAGCTTTTCTCTCTGGTCCAAAAAAGCAAAGCAGCACGTACTACGTCCAAATCCATCAAGAAAACCAACTCCTGCTCTGCACGGCACCATTAACCAGTCATGAATCTGAGAGAATATCTTTCCCATTTGCTGCCAAATTAATCACAAGTGAATCAGAGAACGAAAGAGTTATACAGTAGACAAAAGGCCCTTGAGCACATCATATCTGCACTATCGGGTGCAAGTTAATTTAGTGAGCATGTGTTTTAATGACTAAACATGACATGCTGATGCATTATAGACAGGTTATCAACACTTGGCTTTAATTTGCCATTGATGGGCTTCCCAATGTTCATCCACAGCTGAGAAGTTGACACTTCACCTCCCACATAATTAAATGCCCCCCACCTGCCTCATCTCCTGCCATTGGGAGTATCATTAGATTTTAGCCATAGTTCCTTCAGTGATCTTTTTAATCAGTTTTTGACTACTTTTTGTTCAAAGTATCATAGAAAACTTGTACATAAACATGTCATGTGATAATTAGACTCTCCTGTTAGTGGCAGTATTGTGTGTCAGTATTGTGTCTCCCTGCTTCTCAACTTGCAATGAAAATCTTCTGCTGCAACTAACCCTACTTCCATATTTCTTTATGACCATGTTTTGATATTTTTAATTATAATGATATATAAAAACAACAAGGATATAATGCACAATTGCCAGTCTGTGCATCCAGGCCAATTATTTCGGAACTTTTGACGCAGCTTTAACTGGAAATCATAGTTAGACCCGATACCACATGTAACAGCTTAGAAAATTGACTTCTATAAACTCTACATCTCTCAGATATTTTAAGTAATCAGAAAAATGGCAGCAAAATTAATGCATCTTCACTTCCTTGGAGACAATAAGGATTGCAGATGCTGGAGGCCAGAGTCTATGGGTGTGAGGCTGGAAAAACACAGCAGATCAGACAGCATTGGAGGAGCAGGAAAGTCAACGTTTTGGGCTGAAACCCTTCGTCAAGACTGGGGAGGGGGTGGGGTCCCCAGAAATAAATAGAAGGAGGAAGGAGGTGGCTTGGCGAATGGTAGAAGAGATGGTGTTAGGTGGATGCAGGTGGGGTTTATTGTGATTGGTCAGTGGGAAGGGTGGAGCAGATAGGTGAGTAGGAAGATAGACAGGTTAGGTCAGGTCATGGAGGTGAGGAGGAGGGGGAGGGCTGCACATGGGATAAGGCTGGGGGTGGAGGGAATTTGAAGCTGGTGAAGTCAATATTGAGGCCATTGGGCTGTAAACTCCCAAGGCAAAGTATCAGGTGTTGTTCTTCAAGTTTATGTTTGGCCTCCCTCTGACAGTGGAGGAGGCCAAGGATGGACATGTCACCAGGCGAGTGGGAGGGGGAATTAAAATGGATGGCAACAGTAAAGTCGGGTTGGTTGATGCATACAGAGCGCAGATGCTCTGCGAACCGGTCCCCAAGTCTGCATTTGGTCTCCCCGATATAGACGGGACCACGTCGGGAAGAACGGATACAATAGATCAGGTTGGATGAAGTGCAGGTGAATGTCTGTCCGATTTGGAAAGATTGTTTGGGGCCTTGGACGGAGGTGTGAGGGGAGGTGTAGGGGCGGGTGTTACACATCTTGCAGCTGCAGGGAAAGGTACCGGGTGTGGTGGAGAAGTTGGTTGGGAGTGTAGAGCTGACGAGAGAGTCAAGAAGTGAATGGTCCCTGCGGAAACCAATCAGGGGTGGGGAGGGAAATATCTTTTTGGTGATGGGATCTGATTGTAGGTGGTAGAAATGTTGGAGGATGACGTGTTGAATTCAGAGGTTGGTGGAGTGGTATGTGAGGGCTATGAAAACTCTATCCTTGTTGTTGGGGGGAGAGGATTTGAGGATGGAAGTGTGGGAAATGGAGGAATTGCAGTTGAGGGCATCCTTAATTACAGAGGAGGACAAACTACGGTCCCTAAATCAGGAAGATATCTGGGATATACCGAGAGTAGAACGCATCATCCTGGGAGCAGATGTGGTGGAGGTGGAGGAATTGGGAGTATGCGATAGCACTTTTTCAGGAGGGTGGGTGAGAGGTGGTACATTCGAGGTAGTTGTGGGAGTCAGTGGGTTTCAATGGATGTCGGTGGTGAATGGATTTCTGGAGATGGAGACGAAGATGTCCAGGAAGGGGAGGGAGGTGTCTGAAATGGTCGAGGTGAATTTGAGGGCCAAGTGGAAGATGTTGGCGAAGTCGATGAACTGCTCGAGCACCTTGCCGGAGCATGAGGCTACGCTGATACAGTCATCAATGTAGCGGAGGAAGTGAAGGATGGTGCCAATTGGGTTATGGAAGAGGGACTATTCCACAAATCCTACAAAGAGACAGGCATTTCTCAGGCTCATGCAGGGTGCCCATGTCCAACCCTTTGGTTTGTAGGAAGTGGGAGGAATTGAAGGAAAAATTGTTGAGAGTGAGGACCAGTTCAGTCAAGCAAATGAGAATGTCATTGGAGGGGCACTGGTTAGGTCTATGGGAGAGGAAGAAGCAGAGGGCTTTTAGGCCCTCCATATAGGGGATATAGGTGTACAAGGACTGAACATCCATGCAAAGGTGAGGTGATGGGGGCTGGGGAATTGAAAGTTTTGGAAAAGGTGAAGGGCATGGGTTATGAACCAAATATAGGTGGGGAGTTCCTGGACCAAAGGGGAAACAATGGAGTCGAGCTAGGAGGAGATGAGCTCGGTGGGCAGGAGCAGGCAGAGACAATGGTCGTCCAGAGCAGTCGGGTTTATGGATTTTGAGAAGGAGCTAGAAACGGGCGGTGCGGGACTGGGGAACTGTTAGGTTGGAGGCTGTGGACGGGAGATCTTCTGAAGTGATGAGGCTGTTGTTGGTCTGGGAGATGATGGCTCGGTGATCAGAGGTGGGGTCATGATTGAGGGGACGGTAGGAGGAGATGTTGGAGAGTTGGTGTCTGGCCTCAGCTACATAGAGGTCCGTACGCCATACTACCACTATGTCCACACCCTCCTTGTTGGCGGGTTTAATAGTGAGGTTGGGGTTGGGGCAAAGGGAGTAGAGGGCTGTTAAGTGAGAGGGGGGAGAGACTGAGGCAGTCAATGGCGTGGCGGAAGTTGGAGATGAAGAGGTTGAGGGAGCGTAGAAGGCCAGGAGGGGGTGTCCAGGAAGATGGGGTTTGTTGGAGGCGGGAGAAGGGGTCAGCAGAGGGTGGGTTGGGTTCCCGTTCAAAGAAATAGGTGCGGAGGCAGGAGGTGGCAGAAAAAGAGCTCGATATCATGGCGTGCGTGGAATTTGTTCACGTGTGGGCACAGGAGAATGAAGGTGAGTGCTTTACTGAACACAGACTGTTCAGCCTCAGTAAGGGGGAGGCCTGGGGAGATGGGTGAATACCCAGCAGGGCTTGGTGCTGGGACCGGGTATAGAACTGGTGCTGGAGGAGGTGGAGACTTCAACAGGAGTGGGTGTGTGCACTGGAGGGCTCACGTGGGTGGAAGCAGAAGTAACGCGATCGTCATTGATGCTGGCTGTCACACGGTCTTCTACATTGGCAGAAGCGGCAGTTACATGGTCTTCTACATCAGTGGAAGTGGTAGCCACATGGTCTTCGACATCGGTGGAAGTGGTAGTCACATGGTCTTCGGCATCGGTGGAAGTGGCAGTCACATGGTCTTCGACATCGGTGGAAGTGGCAGTCACATGGTCTTCGACATCAGTGGAAACAGCAGTCACATGGTTGTTGATGTCAGTGGAAGCAGCAGTCACATGGTCTTCGACATCGGTGGAAGTGGCAGTCACATGGTCTTCGACATCGGTGGAAACAGCAGTCACATGATCTACATCAGTGGAAGTGGCAGTCACATGATCTTCTACATCAGTGGAAGCAGCAGTCACGCGATTATATAGGAGTGGTTGGAGCACCCAGGTGGTTAATGGTGTTGGGTTGATCCCAGGGAAGGTCGGAGATAAGATTACGATGCTGAATGGTTGAGGAGGACTGTGTCTGGGTTTGAGTTTGGGAGAGTTTGGTGTACTTGCAGTCTTTGATGTCCAATAGGGTGGAGAAAATGCGTTTGTTGAGGGTGTGGATCCTTCTGAGAACAAAGAACAGTGGAGGTCCTCTGTAGGTCTGGGAGAGAGAGAGAGAGAGAGAGAGAAACCCTGAGCTGGGGCAAGGCCGACTGCAGGGATAGAAGGTATTGACACATGGCAGAGAGTGTGGAGCTGAGAATCTGTAGGGAGAACCATTTCTGGAGGTACGGGAGATACTGTAGATAATGATTGTCACAGTTGGGTCCAAATTGTGAAAGTCTGAAAGTAATTTGGAGTCCATGGGGAATGAGCCGGCTGTGTAGACAGGCACTGAGGAAGGAGACATGGCTGTAGTATCTTGATTGCTTCTGAATGTGGTTGAAGAGCTTCAGGGCAGAGGAGACAACTGGGGTGTTGCAGTGGGTGAGAGGCTGACTGAGCTCTCTTCCTTTGTTTTAAAAATGGATAATGCCCTAGTATTGCTGAAGTTCATTTTTCCATGATATTCAGATAAGCAAACTGGCAATTTTCAATTTGTCAAATAAGACGAAGCAGATTGAACTGTTATTATAGATTCCATATGCAAGGTTATCAGAGTACAGTCAAGTCTTAAGCTTAATATGAGCTATATGGTTTCAATTTAACAGTTTTTAGTTTTATTTACCGATTATAAAAAAAATAGTGGTAGCAATGTGGCTACTCTTAACTGCCCTCTGAAATGGCTGGGCAAGTCACTCAGTTCAAAGATAACTATGCTGGCCTTACTGGTGAACTCCACATGGAAGAATAAAGAAAAAAATGTAAATTACAATATTTTCTTCATTTACCTGTATATATCACGAGCCATTCCAAAATCTCCAATCTTAGCCACTCGTCCTGTACCTTTGAAAGTAAGAAGGCAATTTCTTGCAGCTATATCCCTGTTAATAAATAGAACAAAGAAAGGTAAATGATCTCTTCCCTCAGTCATCGCTCACTCACTCACCTCTTTTCCTAAAGCAGCAGATTAATATTGGAGTAGGGTTGCACTGTCACAACAATTGTCTGTATTGCTAACATACTTTGAACAAGATTCTGCATACAGAATGTTGCTAAGCAATTTTTGACTCTGAGCAATCGGGACAAACTTGAGCCCATGCTCAGCTGGTATCTACAAGTTCACTTTCAGTAGGGATCACTGGATACTAATTTATCACAGGAGTCTTGAATGACATTTTGATTCTTAAAGGATGCTAAGATCAATGATCAAATTGGTACTCTGTTTGAGATCCTCTTGGTTGTTATAGATCAAAGTTTAAACATAGACTTGTATATTTAATGATACAGCAGTTGTGCCTTCATCATGATGTAATTGACAGAGTGAAGATATAAATGTAACTCTCACACAGTTGCTGATACAAAATTACAATGTTAAAGGATTAGTTATTGCCAACAAAAGACCAAGGATGGAGAGAGAGGATTTAAATCCCAGAATTTCTACTTGAAGGCACGTATAAAATTATGTAAGCCACAGATTGTCTGAGAATGCCTGAGTGAAAGATGTCAGAATGGATCAAATGTAAATTGTACATTAAAGTATAAATGAGGCCAGGATCATGCAAAGTCCATCCTGTTATTGTCTAACTGGGTGTAACATTATAACATTGATCTGACAGATCTGACCTTTGGTCATGTCATTCCTTTCATCTTCAAAATAAATATCTCTCCAGTGTAGTGGTTAATTAGACCTGGACACTTCTCAGCATTTATAGTCCTGTGATTATCTCACTTTTCACAGCTCTCTACATTACAGCATGTACACATTGTGTACCCAAACAGGGAAAATATTTTTAATCAGTAAAGTAAGCCAAAGTCAAGGAAAAAAAAACTGGCTTGGGATCTAATCATTATGGTATCAGTGTATTAATCAATTTGGGCAGATGTTTGTGCTGTAATGAAATATTTGCATGTTTTCACCATAGATAACAAATCAGAACTTATGCTTTAAGAGTTGAATTGGAATGTTGCCAAGCTTTCTCAGTATGCTTGAATTAGCAAAAATCCCACCTGAGTCAACACTTTCAGTTTCAGTCCAGAATTTAAGCATTTGATCTATGCTGACCTTCCAACAATGTATTGTTGGGGCTGCCATTCATGGAGGGGATTTTCAGCTGAGGCATCACTGTGTAATTTCACCTCTTTTTTGGAGAATTTGAAGCAGTTGGGAGGGGGCTGTTCAAGGATTAAAGGTGCATCAAAGACAACCCAAGGAACTGACTCATGGAGAAAAGTAGCATGAGGAATTCACCTGGAGAGAACAACAATATTGAGGACTGACTCAGGGAGAGGAGCAGATTCAGAGATTCAATTAAGGAAAAGAATAACATGAAGAACTGACTCAGTGAAAGGAAGGGCAAGACTTGATGAGGGGAGTAGATTCAGGGGCTCACCTGCAAAGGGGGACAGCCCTTGGGACACATTTGGAAAGAGAATCTGCTCAGGTTCTCCTTACAAGAAAGGAGCAACACCTGCAATACACCCGGGGTCAGGGGCAGGTCACGAGACTCACAGGGAGAGGTCCGCTATTACAGATGGTGATACTAAAGACTTATGCAAGAAGAGGATCAAGTTCTAGGATTCTGTACGAGGAGTAGAATCAGAGTTCACAGGTGAATGAAGCAACACCGAGGACCCGTTCAGGAAGTGAAGCCCAATTGGTGGTCTTCTGTTAGGAAGTGATAAAGATAACTCCATGTAAATTAATAATTGAATAGAATAGATGTTACTGTACAAGCGTGTGTGTGAGATTGCATTATTATGTATTTCTCTTTCTGCCTTTACAACCTGTAACTCTCAAGTTTGAAAACATTTCTCTTGTGTACTCTCATCAAAGCGACAAGAATTATAAAAGGATAAAATGTTCAATGATCGAGGATGCTACATTACACTGGTAGTTACAATTTCTCATCCATATAAGGCTGTACATGTACTTATGAATTAGGAGCAGGCCCCTTTTGTAAAGAAATGTGTGTGAAGTATAGGTTTATGTATCTGAATGCAGAATTAGTTATTCAGAGAAAATCATAGTTAGCGTTTCGGGTCCAATGACCCTTCCTCAGAACATTCTGAGGAAGGGTCACCCAACCCGAAATGTTAACTCTGATCTTTTCTTCACAGATGCTGCCAGACCTGCTGAGCTTTTCCAGCAACTTCTGTTTTTGTTCCTGATTTACAACATCCACAGTCCTTTTGGTTTTTATTGGTCATTCAGAATTGCTTTATCTTTGTTCATGGGATGTGGGAATCAATAGCTTGGCCATTATCTATTGCTGATTTCTAATTGCCCAATGAAGAGTCAAGCACATTGCTGTGGGTTTGGTGTCACGTGTAGGTCAGACTGGCTAAGGTTGACAGATTTCCATCCCTAAAACACATTAGTGAACCAGACTGATGTTTTTATGACAATTGACAGTGCTTACACAGTCACCATTCAGCTAGCTTTATTTTTAAATTCCAGCTTTTTATTGAAATCAAATTTCACCAGCTGCAATGGTGGGATTTGAACCCATGTCCCCAGAAAATTAGCTCAGGATTCTGGATTACCAGTTCAGTGACACTACAATAGGCCTCCCTTTAAACTATTAGAAGTGCAAATCTACCTGATAATTCTCTGCATTTGAAAGATACTGGGCTTTCAATTTTTGGTTTTAAGCTTGTTGCTATCTGATTTGATTTAGGTCACTAATAGCAGACCTGATTTTAGTTTATCTGTACCATGAACCTCCAGGCTTTCATGAATTGCTGATGTTACAATTAATAACAATCCTGCATGGTTTTGGAAATTGGCAAATGTTATCAGAAAATTAGCCGATTTTCTAAAACAATTTATTCATCAGATTGAGGTCACTTCTAATCTGCTAAAGCTAACTTATCAGTAATCATTGTTTGTTACAACCTGTTTTAGCAATAACCAAATCACTGTAAAAATAAACATGCATCCGCAATAATATGAAATAGCACAATCACATCCATTAAAGAGATTTTCATCTGAACTATCCTTGACTGATTTTATCACGGAGGTGAATGTGCAGTGTACAAAATCCAATTAATTTCTGTATTGCTATGTATTGTTGTTTGACCAGCATAAAGCACTAGTACCAGTAAATTTAAACAACACCATGCCTTGTTTTTCTGAAACAAAGCAAGATCTGCAATCAAGATAATTAAAAAGGTTGGGTACCATTTGATATTCTCCAAACACGCCAGTTTGTGACCACTTACCGATGGATAAAGTGATTCTCCTCCAGATACTGACAACCCCGAGCAATGTCACGAGCCACATTCAGTAAGTCCAACATGTTGAGAGTTGATGGTTGTCCCTGAAATATAAAAATATCACAAAACATTAATGAACAGTCGTATTGAAGAAAAATGAACATCAAGAATTCTACTGCTGATGAGCTGCTTACCTAAAAACAGTGGATCAAATAATTTACACTTATTTCCCTGACAACAGCACAACCATCCTTTATGTAGTTAGCCTTGTAAGGAATTGCTTATCCTCACAAAACCTACAGAATGCTAATAAGGTCAAAAATCGTAATATCCAGGGAGTATACTCATTTCTAGTCCTTCTGATTGGACTGTGCCAGACGGGCTGAGATTTTTGGACCCAATATATTCAATAAATAAATTTATAGTGTTGAGTTGTAGAGGGTGCTAGATGCTTTGCTTATGCTATTCTGATTGCAATAATCCAATACTGGGGTGGAGAAAAATAGAGCTCCCTCACTGTAAACTGGGCTACAGTTCCCTGGGGTTGACAACTAACAGCTTTGGAAATGCTTTTCTTGTCAAACAGTTGCTTCATTCAAATATTAATTGCTGGCTATTTCTCAATGTTCTAGCTTTCAGAATGCTAGACGCCAAATGTCCCCTCTTGGATAGAATGGTTCTGAGGCAGTTGTGAGTAGATGAAAAGTTATAATAAGAAGGCAGTAAGTTTTGACAATTTAAATTTTTCTTGCTGATCTTTGGGTTCTCAAGAGCCTTTGTACCAATTGATAAATTACATATACCGCCTCTTCTGCCAAGACCATGACTGACAACAAGGGCTTCTCCAATGGCAATCTTCCTCTCCAGGATACTTGGAAAAGGAGAATCAACAATGAGTGCCAGACTGTGCAAAGAATTGTCTGTACACATCTGCAAACTTATCTTAACAGTGCATGAGTAAATAGTGTGTCTCGTCTTCCCAAAGGAAGCATGACTAGCTGACCAGCTGTCATGACTAACAGATGTGAATTCTTGATGCTCTACAGAAAACAACCAAAACACATTAAAGTTACTTGATGAAAGAAGGTACGCTAGAGTGATCACCAACCAGTGACTGCACCTGACAGGATGCCATCGATCATTACCCATATGGCCTGGCACACCAAGCTGGCAATGATTATAAGATGGTCTAGATCATTAGAGAGCCAAATATAGGATTGTGTCATTTGCTGAAAGGAAACAGCATAGGGACTGCACATCATTAGTACCATCTTGGTCCTGAATTTATAAAGGCTCTTTAATGTTCAAAAATGCCTCAAAGAAATACAAAGTGGTGTAATCAGAAACAAGTTGCAAAGCCATGATAGGAGTTAAAAGGAAGGATGCTTGAAGGCTTCACCAAAAAAGTTTATTTTGTATGCTGTCTTAATGGAATAGTGAGAAGTGGAGAAATAGAGGTGTTTTGGGAGGCAATTGGAAACTGAGGAATCTTGGTATTGATGGCACAGTGATCTCTGTGTTAAGGAGGGAGGGATGTACAACAAGGCAGAGTCAGAGGTTAGAAATCTAACACCTTCTTTCTTCAGATATGTTACAATTCGAGATGGTGCAACGGTGTAGCACAGAGATGCTACTTACTGTAGCACCTTATGCAATACTGTCATCATTTTACTAACCATTAAAAAAGTAATCAGATACTTGGCTGCCCTCTTGCCTTTAGACATGTACATGCGTATTCTGAGGTTTTTCAAAGGCTTATGGAATTTTTTGCTGTGCTACTATTCCTTCTCACTAAATATCACTTGTATGCAACTTTTCAATCCATTTCTCACATGCATGCTGCAGCTGTCCAAATCTAATTTCAGAAAATTGAATGCAAACAGCATATTTCAATTTGAGCCTGTCTAAAACCCATCATCAGCCATTCAGAATTAAACCACACTTGCAGCTGCAAATGTAAACCAAAGAGTTGATATCTGAGGAACTAATCTCTTTTTCCTCAGATCTGCTAACTTATTTTCTTATCCATACAAATCTCAACCAGATTAGCCTTTATCAAGGCTTTAAGAAAATCTTAGCAAGAACATTTTACTTTGCCTGAATTCAGTTAATAGTTTTGAGCATCAAAGCAAAATTCTGTGGTCTGCTAAATACAAGAATAAGATCGATTAGCTCTTCCTAATTTCTTTCGATTTCTTCCGATAAAATGAAAAGAATTTGCATTCACATGTCCTCAGGACATTCCAGGTGCTTCACAGTCAATTGTTTGCATATTTACTTCACATTACTCCGAGAAGAAAATATTGGAGATGCATTACCATCAAAATTCTCCTGCTCTTTTATTGTGACTTCAGTAAAAGAGTCTCTAAATACTGCAAAATGTAAAAATGCCATTTTTCTGAGTTTTCATCAGCCGATTTACAAAGATAAGCAGATCAGCCATGAATTTTCACCATTGTAACCTTTAATGACATTATTATACAGCTTTCTCGAACAGTTATTTTCTGAATTTTGAAGAGGACAGAGAGGAGGCCTTCCTCTCCAGCTTAAGGGATCTGCCTGCTTTACAACTTTGAATTTTTTACTTCCAGACTGAAACTGTCTCAGCAGTGCCCATGTGACCCGCTGATGTTGCTGGCCACTGTACAGCTGCCAGACCTGTGTTGTGCCAGGAGCATTCGGGGCCAGTCCACTGAGTGGCCAGGGTGGAAACAATTAGAAGGCACTCTCCAGCAAATTAACCACCTCTGGTTTAGCTCTCAACAAATGCAGGCTCCAGACCCCCATTTGGTTAGGAGGCTGAGGGCCTCAAAGTCCACAGGAAATTCTGTCATAAGTTTCTCTACCCTCCTTGGTACGATATTTCTAGAAAAATGTCAAGAAAATTGACCAAGTAGGATCTTCTCCTTCTAAAGTCAGAATGGTTTGTAGTTTAGAGACATAGAGCCATACAACATAGAAACAGGCCCTTTGGCCCACCATATCTATGCCAGTTAGTAATAACCAAGCTATACCATTCCCACCCACCAGTACTTAGTCCACAGCCTACTGTGTCCCAGCATTTTAAGTTATTAGATTATTGCCTGACAAGCAAATACACCTCAAATTCAATCCTCATGATGGACTGCATTAGTTTATCAGGTATTGATATTGGGCATATTAACTTGTTGTTCCTCATATCAGCTTTGTCCTCTTTCATTAATTGGGTAATATGTCAGCTTGAATCATAATACAGCAATGAAGAGTGGAAATGTTCTTAGGTCAAGGGATTTTGAAACCAACTACCTGCCTTTTGTCAGTGCCCCAGTCATGATCAACAAAATCAATGCAGAACAGGGACTGAATGTTTACGTTTTTTAAAGAGCATTCATATTCTCAGTTCAACCTGCCTTATGTGAGGTCACTTTTATGACACAGCTTTTCCAAGTTGGAATAGATAGAAAGAACCTCAGTACTACCTTAGAATTGTTTTGACATTACTGACTGCTGCATTAATTTATAATGAGTTCTCCAATCTTCATATACCAAATTGATATCCACAACTTATTCTTTCTCAATAGTATCATTGAATATTTTCATGACATTTTGCCTAAACTTTTTAAATATTCAGCATTTTCACAAGATGGCTGATTACTGTACATTTTTCCAAGGATTGTGATTCTTAAATGACATGTGAAAGAAACTGATGAAAAAGAAGTTGTTATCAAGTGTGTCACTGCAGAATTAGACGTTTTGAAATGTATGCTTGTGAAAATTAAAAGGCCTGCTTGGGAAGGACATCACCTCCCGATGCATTAAGTTGTAATAGAAGATAAAAGAAGCACAAAAATCCTCCTCCTTAGATCTCTGTGCCTCTATTATATCCGTGTTTTTCAACCTGTAACTCTGGCAGAATTTACTGCCCTCCCCCCACTGAGCTTGGTAGCAAGGGAGCTACTTAATTGGCAGAAGGGTGGCAAGAGGAGATCTCACCAATGCCACACCTCTTCCACGATTAGCTTTGCAGCAGGAAGGCTTATGAACAGCTTTGCTGTCCTGCTGCAGTTAACGCTCACTTGAGAGATCCATTCCATTATTGTTGGCGTTCACCCAGAAACAAGCAAGAGACTTAATGCGCAGTTGGTTGTTAGGTTCCCAGGAGGTCCCTCATTCAACGCACTCAGTTCCTGATTGAGGGGCCTGGCATCAGGAAGGGGCAGACCACTCGGAGTTACCCCACTTGCCTTATTGCTGACACCATGACCCCAAGATACCCCTTTCCCTATAATTAACCTGCATCAGAGTCGATCAGGGATCCTTAGCTGTGTGTAATACTGGTAGCAGTCTCACTGCCACCCGATGGAACTACCAAGTAATGAAGGGGAACCAGCCTCTCAGTGAACAGAATCTCTGCCCTCAGGTTCCTTGTTCATGGGGAAGGACTTCCACTGCCCAGTTGACTGCTTAATTGGTGCCAAATGCCCTGTGTCTTTCCAAAAAGAAGTAACACCAGGCTCTCCAATCAACAAGCAAAACTCATGTTGCCTACAATAAATTCCATCTTATGGCTCAGAGACCAACATTTTATGCACTAAAACATCCAAAAGCGCTTTACAAAGTGTTTCAAGCAAAATTGACATTGAACCATAAAAGGAGATATCAGGATAGATGACCAAAAAACAAAAAAAAGTGTTTTAAGGAGCATCTCAAAGGAAGGAAGAGATCAAGAAAAGCCGAGAAGAGAATTCCAGAGCACAGGGCCAAGGCAACTGAGGCATGGTCAACAAGAGTGGTCTGACTAACATTATGCAAGAGGCCAGCATTGGAGCAATATAGAGGACTGGAGGAAGTGAAAGGGACAGAAAAACGTCAGGCCACATATTTTGTATTGCCCCTTTTGCAAACACCAGACACTTCAAAGTGTCTAACAGCCAATGATTTGTAGTCACCAGTAAATTGCAGTAAGAGCACTGTGAGAAGTCTGAGATTCAGGAGGGTCGGGAGATGTGATGATAAGGTAAAACATTGTACTGTCAGCGTACATGTGGAGCCTGATATTATCCTACAGGAAGGTATAGTTGAAGGGCAGCATAGAAATATGGGGTGGCCAAGGTTGGATCCTTAG